GGGTCCCCCCCGCCGCCATCCCCGGGGACGCGGATGGGAACCCACGGGTGGGTGTCCCGGCCTGCCCGGGGAGCCGGCTGGCAGTGCGAGCTGCCCGGGAACCGAGGCTAAGGAGGGAGCCAACGGGAGCTGCTCATAGGGAAAGCTCTAAGGAACCAGGCAGGTATCAGAGGGAGCCCCCCACACCAGGCCTTGCCCCCTCCTGCTCCGCTAATTAAGGTCGGATCCTGCATTTAAGGCAAGCAGCAGGCTATGGGATGCCTGGAGAAACCCTCCGGGGGGGAGATGAAGCACAGCTCTCCCCCAGAACTGAGAAACGCTTTGGTCGACAAACAGACACAGACACAGACCCCTTAAATACATGTCATGTTTAATTTGGACGTTGATCACTCCACAAAAGGCCTCCGCGGCCCCCGCCCCGCCTGCCCGCGGCGTACCCCTCCTGCAGCCCGCTGTTAAAAAGAGACGTCGCAACCTCTCCCAAGACCAAATACCCCATTTTCTTACCTCCGCACCCCAGATCCTCCCCCGGTCCGTTCCCTCTCACCACCCCGCGACATACGTGACATCTCTCCTCAGCTCATCGAACGAGTCAAAGAAAAAGAAAAGCAAAACGAAGGCTTTAGAGGAGGGAAGCTCTGAACACTGACAGACCCCGCAAACCTCTCGGCTCCAGGACCTGCTCTGCACCCGCCACACGCGTCCCACGGGGCGGCATCGCCCCAGCAGTTTTGGATTTCAGCAGAAATTGGCTTCAGGACAGTTGGAAGGAGACAGGCAGAGAGCAGGACGCTCCTTCCCCACCCTTCTCGCAACATACCGAGTCTCAGAGAAAAACTTCAAGAGCAGTTCTGGGGTAGTTATACAGATTAAACCACCCCAGGACCCTTCCTAACCCAGCTTCTGCCAACAACCGCAGTGTTAATTCAACTAAACCACGTCAGAAACCCAAGCATCACGCTGGCACTGACAGCCCTGGGGAGCGCAAGGAGACCTGCGCTGCCACCAATATTGCACACAGACAGCTCCGGAGGGCTGCAAACAGCCAGCAGAGCCAGGTCCCCGTGCCCACACAGCACCCGCGAGGAGGCTTCGCCCCCATGCTTGGTCACAGCAGAGCGGCGCTGCCAGCTTTCACCTCTAAAACCAGGACATCTCCCAGCACCACCTGGGAGGAAACCCCTCTCCCCATCGCCAAAGGGGACAAGTTTCTCCGAGGAGCAGAATAAAATGGGAATCCGCTTCCCAACTGCTCTGCTCGCAGCCGCTCTCCCTTCACACCTCAAATCGCTCTCCCACTTGCCTTCACGCTACTCTACAAATCCACCCGCAACGGCCAAGACAACAGCACACGCTTCCTTCATCGCCAGCACAGTGGGCAGGCTTCTGCCCCATGGGAGCGCCAGCTCTCCCCTCTTCTCCCGTAAGCAGGTCTCTCTCCATTTGTGCTGGGGAAAAGGATTCATCCGCGGTGAACAGCACGCACGAGGCAGGTGCTTTCCGCATCATCTCCCAAGACCAGCCCGGCCGCTTCTCCGATCATGCGAGATCCCAACTTGGAATAGAGGAAACGGGCTCACCGAGACCTGAATACTTTCTCATTAAGGCTTAAACTAGCAATTCAGCTGCTGCGATAAACCAAACAGACATGCTGCCAAAAGGAAGGAAGTTAGTTAAAAAGAAGAAAACCCAAACCACCTTGGCGCTAGGCACGCGGAGGGCTTTGCTTTCCTCTCCCAGGCGGGAAACCCGTTCTCAACACCCACCTGGTTAGCGCGTGACACAAGCCTGCTTTAAGGGGGTTGTTTTTAAAACAGCCAGAAAAACGCAAACTAAACTCTCACAAAAGCCCCGCAGGTGGGACTGTCACATTAAATATACAACTGAGGCCAACTTTTAAAATGTCTTTAAAAAAAAAAAAACCACACACACGCACACACACACACTTTGGCACACAAGCCTTAAGTTATATCACTTAAAACATTTCAAAGTCAGAGAAGAGCTACTGGGGGGGGTTGTTGGTTTTTTTCTTTTTTTTTTTTTCCCTTGTAAAAAGGTATCAAGCAGTGGTGTTGGTGAAGCATGAAGAGAGAGTACAAATGCTGAACAGTCCCAGAGGTGTCCCTGTGACGCTGCTCAACACTTGCACTCCGATTACTTTCCCAAAGCAGCTAGCTGATTACATACACGTATATAAAAACTAATGCAGACATTCCCGGTTTTCAATGTGAAAACAGTAAAATGTAATTGAATACTTGTGCATTTGCCATAGGGTCCTTCAGAAAAGGAACCATAAAAATATTTTTTTTAATAAAAGTATTTTTTGTTTTCTCTTTTTTTTTTTTTTTTTTTCTTTTTTTTTTTTTTTTTCTTTTTTTTTTTTTTTTTCTTTTTTTTTTTTTTTTTCTTTTTTTTTTTTTTTTTTTCCTTTTTTACCCTTAACTTAAGTAAAGAGCAAATATACACCTATAAGCAGAGTTCAGATCCACTTTACTGAGAGCCTGGAAGTCCGTACATCAAATTAATTCCCAGTGGCATATCCAGACACCGGAACAGCTCCCAGCTCCAAAGGGCCAGCGTTCCTGAAAGATCTGCAGCTCCAGCTAACCTCGTTAGCCAGCGCAAAGCAAAGACTCATTCAAGCCTTATCTGTCTCAGCCAACACTCCCCCAACAGACTCTGCAGCTGAGCAGCTCTCTGCCAAGCAGAGCCTCACACACGGGACCCAGCTCTGGGAGCATCAGAGCTGGCAATCTGGGCAACAAACCTGAGTCCTGGCGATTTCAACCCATATCAGGCTGTAACAATGAAAATGTAAGCACCGAGCTTACATTTTCTTATTACTCAGAGGACAGACCACTGATTCCAGCTACTGAGAAACAGCTTCCAGAGGAGAGCTGGGAGGAATTTCAGTGATAGAGAAACTAGCTGTGCAATACGAAAGTGCATTTAAAGGTAGCTTAAAACCAGATTAAAGATCAAAATCGCCGCTCGACAGGAGGGAGAATCAAGCTCCAGCAGCCACGCTCCTTGGGCTGGGTGGGTTAACATTCAGGCTCTCTCTCGCGAGTCCGAGGGGCAGGAGAGAAGCGTGCATTCCCGTGCTCCGACAGGGACACAGTTCTCCTGGCAGGCCATGCTCTCCTGCCCGGTTTGCTTCTGTGTGGTATCAGTTCTGGACAGCTGTCATCGGAATTCGTAGATAGGAGCACTGTGCTCAGGAACGTGAGTTAAATTCAATGACTGATACCTGGGAGAGAGGGAAAAGACAGATGAGAGGATTACATAGAGCAACAGAACTCCCCTAGCACTAACGGCTCCTGCTTGGCACATCACAGAGCAGACATCCTGGTGGCTGGCTCTTCTCTTCCCCTTTACAGTCTCAGAGGTGTTCAGGCACCCAGCACCCACTTACCCGTGCTGCCAAAACCCCGTGAGGACTCGGCATTGTTCCTCATTTCCATTCCCGTGCCTTTGAGGTACCTGCAGCCAGGCTGCGTTCGAGGTGGGCTGTGATTTTTGGACACCTTTTGAAGTTCAACAACTTTCATGTTCAAACAGTGTTTGCTACAACTGCAAATTACACTCAGGTCTTTCAAAGCTTAGCTTGAAGGGATTTGTCTGAAAGCCTCCCAGGTACCTTCCCTCCCTCTGGGGGCTTCCAGCCACCCTACAAATTCCCTTGCTGCATGTGACATATCCAAGGCTGTCAGAGGGAAAAGAGCTCTCCACAGCTACTTGTCACATGGCTTTAACAAGAAACCAACCAATTAACTTTGACTGTTCCCTGTGTCTTACAGCAACACCCCAAGGACTGTGTACTACAAAGCACTGGCCTAACAAGATTTCTGTGTGAAGAGAGCAACAGCCAAGCTGTCACATGCGAGAAAGCACCGAGCTCCTTCTCAAAGGCCCCTCTGACATCTTCTGAAGGGCCAAGGCATGAAGAAGCTCAAATCTTGAAACACCGAGCTAAGCACAAACTGAGGGAGCACAACCCTGCACACGAGGCCAGGCTGCCTTACGCTTGCCTGTCCCCACAGGAGGGCAGGAGCAGGCAAGCCCTGCGAGCGTTTGGACTGGAGACCAGGCTTCCAGAGGGACGCTTCCAGTGAACCACAGCTGGTGTCTGCCTCCCAACGTACCTCACCGATGCACCAGGCCACTGCTTCACAGCACATCTCCAGACCTTTTATCTCCCCTGCGCCATGTTGCCAGCCCCATTATCCCCAGCCGTGCAAAAAGGGCAGCACTTTATACCACACGAATGGGCTGCACTAGCCTGCTCTGGCCAAGGATGGCACACTCGCCCTCCCTTCTGCCCCGAGGTCCAGCCACCAGATGAACCTCCTTCCCAGCCCAGAGAAGCACTGCCTGGACACTCCCAAGGCTGCAGACAAGCAGAAGAGGAGTCACTGTTTGGTTCAAGGAGCCACCCTGCAGTCCGCAGGAGGAAGGAAGCTTCCTTACCATTCTGAACTCCTATGGTAGTAATAGCCCTCTATAGATGCTGCTGACTTCTGGAAGCAGATGTAATAGAAACCAGCAAAGGAAGCACCGCTGATGTCTTTGATAGTGTGATCTGGGACCAGGAACTGTTCCTGCACACAAAATACAGATGGTATTTTAAAATGCTGGTCAAATACTAACCCTCCCGGCCCCAGTCTGCCCTCCCAAACTGAATATTAGCACCCATTAACACAAAAGGCATTCTTGGCTGAGCATTCCCTGCACTCGCAGGAGCTCAGAGGAGAGAGACCAGCATGTTCTTTCACCACCTGCCACTGTAGGCATCTTACAGGGAAGCAGACAACTGAGAACAGAACCAGTTTTAAGAGTGCATGAAATCAGTTTCAGTTCAACACCTGCCCACTGCAAACCAGAAGCCAGTTGCAAAACCAGGAATCAGAGCTGCCTGATGAAGAAGAGAAGGCTCTGAGGAGACCTTATTGCAGCCTTTCAATACTTACAGGAGGGCTTATAAGGAAGATGGAGAGAGACTTTCTACTAGGGCCTGTAGTGACAGGACAAGGGGTAATGGCTTTAAACTAAAAGAGGGTAGCTTTAGATTAAATATAAGGAAGAAATTCTTTACTATGAGGCTGGTGAGACACTGGAACAGGTTGCCCAGAGAAGCTGTGGATGCCCCATCCCTGGAAGTGTTGAAGGTCAGGTTGGTCAGGGCTTTAAGCAACCGGAAGATGTCCCTGCCCATGGCAGGGGGCGTGTACTAGATGATCTTTAAAGGTCCCTTCCAACCCAAACCTTTCTGTGATTCTATGATTTCCTCCCATCACAGCTGCACAAAGCTTGTGTAAGAGGGAGGAATCCATCCAGCTGAAGAGCAGAGAGGTGCAGACTGGCCAGTCTGCACCAAACACACAGGCTGCACACAGGGACTGCAGACACCAATTCTCTCATCCTCTGGAGCATCACCAAGCAAGATTTTCTTGTTCTGTTTTTAGCTGTGACTGCAGCCCTTAAGGACGCAATTAGCTGGCTAGACAGGAGTCACACTGGAATTTGCAAGTATGGTAGATTACGAGGTTGGTAGGGTCAGATCTTTCATCAAACCAGTGTAACTGAAAAAGCTTTCAGGCACCACAAGCCTCTCTGTCAGTCACTTGTAAGCAGCTCATCAGAGAAGGAGACATGCAGAGTTTACCTTCCATCTCATGAAGACATAGTCCCCATTTTTCAGATCCTCATAATCAAAGT